AACATGAGTGGGGGAGGGGCAGAGAGAGGGAGACACAGAATCTGAAGCAGGCTCCAGGCTCTGAGCTGTCAGCACAGAACCCGACACGGGGCTCAAACCCATGAATCGTGAGATCATGACCTGAGCTGAAGTCGGACGCTTAACCAACTGAGCCACCCAAGCGCCCCTGGCAGTTAAAATCTTGACTGTTTTGTAAAAATGCTTCAATGTGGCAGACAAGAGCTGCACACTTAAACCAGTCAGAAAACCCCTAAGCACACTCTACTGTCTCAAGTCTTTTTTTGTGAAAAAAACAGAATATCTTCCAAACATACAGAAAAGTAGAGCACCTAATATAACACCATTTTAAAGTACTCACCACCCAGCTCTAATCCTGCTATCTTGTCACATGTCTCGAACTGTTCTCCCAGGAAATAAAGCATTATGGGTGTTGCTAAAGTCCCCACCACATTTTTCCTCTATCCAGCACCCCCCCCCTGAATCAATCACTCCCCTAAATTTGCTGCCACCCATCTCCATGCACGATACTTTATTCATTCTCCCTATTATTCATAAAAATCTCTTATGGTATCGTACCATGTGTTCTCCTTTTTATTCAATGTTGCTTTTGAGATGCGGTCAAGCAACGCAAGTAGGATTTCACTACATGAACACATCTGCGTTCTTTGCCTGTTTGTTGGAAGTTTACATGGCCGCCATAACAGTCTTCACCATTTTCTTACATTTTTAAGTGTCCATTTCAGTAGTGTTACGTATATCCATACCGTTGTGTGACCCACCTCCACAACTTTTTCATCTTGCAAAACTGAAACTCAATCCCCATTAACAACAGCCCCCCCATCCCCCTCTCCCCTCAGCCCCAGGAGCCTCCCTTCTGTATTCTCTCTCTCTGAATCTGACAACTCTAAGCACCTCATACAAATGGAATCATGTAGTATTTCTCTTTTTGTGATGGATTGACTTCCTTTAGCAGAATGCCTTCAGGGTTCATCCATGCCATAGTATGTGACAGAGATTCCTTCCTTTTTAAAGGTGGATAATATTCCAGGGTAGATATTTACTACATTTTGTTTATCTTTTTTTTTTTTTTT